TTCCTCCGCCCCCCCCCCCCCCCCCAGCACTGCGCCTGGGCGGTGTAGAACTTCAGGCTGCCTTTCTGGGCACCGCCTCCCATGGCTGTGGGCTTAGATCTAGAGTCCCCCGCTGCCAGCAGCCCTGTGGACCCCCTTCCACATTCGAGGGCTACACTGACCCCAAGGGACGCGGATTTGGTGCAGGACAGTCTCCCTCTGATTCTCTAGTCCCGGCTGCTTGCGTTTCTCCCTCCAGCCCAGATCCCCAACCCCACCTTTCTCCAGGCGATCTCTGACCTTTCTGTCCACAGATTGCCTTACCAGCTGTGTTTAATTCACCAATTCCAGGTGGATGTTATTCGATTCAGCTGTTCCTTCTACCTTCTCTGTGAGAAGGTGCAGTGCCCCTCTGCGTATTCAGCGCCATTTTGTCTCCCGCTGGACAAACTTTTTAGGTGCCCACAGCCGAGGAGGCTGGAGTCTCCGTGTTTGTGGGTTCACAGCCAAGGCAGCTGGTCCCTGGATGTTGTGGCTGTAGGGTCCCAGGTGGTATCCGAGGCCACCCCAGGTGAAGATAAGGCTGGGCTTCCAATCACAGCTGCTCTCCCCTTCAAGATGGTGTGGTCTCTGTGGCCAACACTTGATCTTAACCCCATCACTTCTTTTAGCTATGTCTGCCTCCAGTACAGAGATGAACTTTCTCCTCCTAAAGTCTTTAGCAACCTAATTGGAAGATTCAATGGTTATTCTTCACGGCTCATTTACTTTTCTTGTTAACCGTTGTTAAGATAATATTTAGTTATTGAAAATCTTATTCCTTAGAGAGTCCAGAAATTAGCCCGAACCAATATGCTCAATTAATATTTGACAAAGGAGGCAAGAACATACAATGGAGCCAAGATAGTCTCTTCAATAAATGGTGTTGGGAAAATTGGACAGATATATGCAAGAAAATGAAACTAGACCACCAACTTACACCATACACAAAAATAAACTCAAAATGGATAAAGGACTTAAATGTACGACAGGAAACCATAAAAATTCTAGAAGAATTCAAAGGCAACAAAATCTCAGACATATGCCGAAGCAATTTCTTCACTGATACAGCTCCTAGGGCAGTTGAAACTAAAGAGAAAATGAACAAATGGGACTACATCAAAATAAAAAGCTTCTGCACAGCAAAAGAAACCATCAACAAAACAACAAGAAAACCCACTGCGTGGGAAAACATATTTGCCAATGTCATATCTGATAAGGGCCTAATCTCCAAAATTTATAGGGAACTCATACAACTTAACAAAAAGAAGATAAACAATCCAATCAAAAAATGGGCAAAGGATCTAAATAGACACCTTTCAAAAGAGGACATTCAGAAAGCCAAGAGACATATGAAAACATGCTCAAAGTCACTAATCATCCGAGAGATGCAAATCAAAACAACAATGAGGTACCATCTCACACCTGTCAGACTGGCTATCATCAACAAATCAACAAACGACAAGTGCTGGAGAGGATGTGGAGAAAAAGGAACACTTGTGCACTGCTGGTGGGAATGCAGACTGGTGCAGCCACTATGGAAGACAGTATGGAGTTTCCTCAAAAAGCTGGAAATGGAACTCCCATTTGACCCTGTGATCCCACTTCTAGGAATATATCCCAAGAAACCAGAAACACCAATCAGAAAGGATATGTGCACCCATATGTTCATAGCAGCACAATTCACCATAGCTAAGATTTGGAAACAGCCTAAGTGCCCATCAGTAGATGAATGGATTAGAAAACTGTGGTACATCTACACGATGGAATACTATGCTGCTGTAAAAAAGAAGGAACTCTTACCATTTGCAACGGCATGGATGGAACTGGAGAGCATTATGCTAAGTGAAATAAGCCAGTCAATGAAGGAAAAATACCACATGATCTCACTCATTCATGGATAATAAAGACCATTACAAACTTTTGAACAATAATAGATACAGAGGCAGAGCTGCCTCAAACTGATTGTCAAACTGCAGTGGGAAGGCCAGAGAGGGTTGGGGGGCAGAAGGGAGGGGAGTAAGAGATCAACCGAAGGACTTGTATGCATGCATATAAGCATAACTAATGGACATAAGACACTGGGGGTAAGGGAGGGCAGGGGATTGTCAAGGGTGGGGGGAAAAAAGGACACATATGTAATACCCTTTGTAATACTTTTAGCAAAAACAAAACAAAACAAAAAAAAACAAACAAAAAAAAAGAAAATCTTATTCTTTTCCTATATCTATGCCACGTTCCCCAGTTCTTCCCCCGGTTCTTTTTTCCTTTATAGACACTTTACACTAAGGCATATTAATGGAATTATGCAGCCATCAAAAAGCATCATTATAAAAGACTGTGTTGAGATGAAGAAATGTTCAAAATAATAGGTATGCTGCTGTTGGTCTTAGGAGGATTTATGGTCACATGTTCAAAGATAATAGAATTTTACCCTAGACTATAGGAACATCCACACTCACATCCAACAATCCCCAAAGGAAATAGACATATAGGAGACACTAGCAAATAAGAATTAAAATGCCACTTGCTATCAATACTCTGGAAAGCTGGGATTCAGGTCTAAAGACTTTATCTTTCAGGTATAAATATACTCTTACCTCTGTAGGAGCACATCAGATAGGTATGCTCAGTTCTCTGCCTATGATTTCAGCAGCAAAGTGGCAGCAAAAGAGGTGAGATCTTCCCTGAGTTGTGCTGGAGCAGGCTCGTTCTGGCTTTAGGAAGCTGGTTCTGAGCATCCCTTCTCAACTCGGCATTCAGTGAACTCAAGTTGGTAGCTTACAATCAGCCATGGTGGGAGTATTTACACCATAGTAATTGGCAAACACTACAAAGTATGGCTCTCCATCCCCATCTCTTGCCTAAAGCTCAATGTTGACTATTTATCAGCACACCAGTAGGAAAAGGCAGAAAACAATCTTACTGTATTGGCCCTGATTATGTGCCCGACTCTGTTTCATTATGGGAAGAGAGAGTGATGTCTGGGCTTGAATCTGCAATAACAAATATGATAATGATGATGATGATAAATACCCATTGAGAACTTCTAGGTACTGTGCATGCTTCACTGTACTAAGTGCTTCCCATGCATAACTTTAAGTTATACTCAAATGACTTTATGGGATAAGGACTATCATCACCTCTGTTTTTTTTTAAATATATTTTATTGATTTTTTACAGAGAGGAAGAGAGAGGGATAGAGAGTTAGAAACATCGATGAGAGAGAAACATCCATCAGCTGCCCCCTGCACATCTCCCACTGGGGATGTGCCCACAACCAAGGTACATGCCCTTGACCGGAATCGAACCTGGGACCCTTCAGTCCGCAGGCCGACGCTCTATCCACTGAGCCAAACCAGTTAGGGCCATCACCTCTGTTTTATATGTGAGGAAACTAAGGATCAGAGCAATTAAGTAATTTATTTAATGTTATACTGCTGGTGAACAGAATATTCAGATTCCAATCCAGGCAAGGCCTCTCTAGAGTCTCAGCTCTGACTTCCATGATAGCCCCTTCCTGGGAAAAGTGGGAAAAGAGGTGGAAAGTTTCATTTCCAACTAGCAGTTGACAGCATGTATTACTATTTTAGAAACATTAATATTTAAAAACATGCAGCCCTGTATACTATGATAAAATTTTTAAAAAGACTTTCCAAATTGAAAAATAATACTATGTATTTTAATGAACATTTTATATGTGTGGTAAAAATGTAAAAAACATACATGGACATAATGTGGGGACATGGCTACTTTTTATTTACTACTTTTTTGTATACTTAAACTATTTCATAATAAAATTTAATATAATTCTGTATGAGGTAATTAGACTGGTAAGTGAGATTATAGGTTGTTCTAATCATTTCTTTAAAAATTTTTAATATTATCATTGTATTGTCTTTTCAATTAAAATTTTTAATAAAAAATTAGTGCATGCAAAAACTGGTAAAACCTGAATAATGTCTGTAGTCTACTTAGTTGTATTGTACCAATATCAATTTCCTGGTTTTAATAATGTCTTACAGTTATATAAAGATATCATCGTTGAAAGAACTGAGAGATGCAGTGGATTATTATTTTTATGGATTAATAAATAAATGTAATTTTTATTTATTATTCTCAAACAGAGAATCTCTGTTTTAACAGAACCTTATTTTAACCCCCATGTACTATTAGATGTTTTCCCTTTATGTTGTCATCTATCCATCACAGTACTTACTAAATTGTAGGTTATATTTATAAAGTACTATATAATTTTAAAAATGCTATTCTTCTTTTCCAGGAAACTTGGAAAGGCCATAAACTTTTTTCTATATTTAAAAATGTAGAAGATTCCAAAATGGTGGCTGAGTAAGTGGATGCTACATTGACATGCTCCCAGGACCAAACTGGAGTTACAACTAAAATTTAAAAAGATCATCCTGAATAATCAACTGAAGACTTGCTAGAGAGACCCCTGATAACCAAGGATGGAAAGTGGAGACCACATAGAGACTGGTAGGAAGGGTGAAGGTGTGAGAGGGCTGACCAGGCTCCCACAGACAGCAGCAGAAGTCCTGGAGGGATATTTCAGCTGGGGGGGGGGGGAGGGAGGCTCCCACTGAGAACTCTGGGGTCTAAACCCCAAGTTGGGCTCCCCAGCCCAGAGCACCAGAACTGAGAAAGGTGCCCACATAACATCTGGCTGTGAAAAGTGGC